GAGTTGCTTGGCTCTATCTAATAAATAAAGCCAGACAGCGTCGTCAAAGGGCGAATCGACGACGTGTCTGGATTCACCAGATAGTCCGTAGACGGTTGGAGTTTGGTGAGTTTCACCATTTGCTCCGGGAGCTGCGCTCGGATGAGGGTCGCTTTCAGCGGTACTTTCGTCTCTCCCTGGCCCAGTTTGACGACCTATTGACCCGCATTGGCGCAAGGATCACCTACCAGGACACCAACTACAGGCGCTCTATTCCAGCTGAAGAGCGCCTGTCCATCTGTCTGCGGTTAGTGTTTTTTACCCCATTCGGAATTCCTAAATACTTACAAAGTTTGTCATTTTTCAATCACAATCCACAATGTAATAGCTCAGAAAACAGTATTATGCAACAATTTGGTGTCTATGATTACTGTCTATGATGTTTACTGTCTACTAGTTTAACGTATTTTATGCTACACAAGTTTTGTCACGTGATTTTTATGAATGTAATTGTGATAAATATGTTCATATCATTTTGTAATTGCAGGTTTCTTGCCACTGGGGACTCCTACAGGACCATTGCGGGGAGCTTCAGAGTGGGCATATCCACCATCTCCATGCTCATCCCAGATGTGGTGGCAGCCATCTGGGACTGCCTCGTGGAGGAGTTCATGGCTGTGCCTGGAGCAGAGGAGTGGAGGTCCATAGCGCAGGACTTTGAGGTCCGATGGAACTTCCCTCTGTGCTGTGGGGCCATTGATGGGAAGCATGTGGCTGTGAAGGCACCCCCCAACTCTGGGTCCATGTTCTTTAATTACAAGGGGCACCATTCCCTTGTGCTCCTGGCTGTAGTGGATGCCCAGTACAGGTTCAGGGTCATTGATGTGGGAGGGTACGGCAGATCCAGCGATGGAGGCATCATGGCCAACTCTGCCTTTGGTGAGGCTCTGCGCGAGGGCACACTCGACCTGCCTCCTGACCAGTGCATACCTGGAGCTGACCACAGAGGACCCCAGCCCCATGTGTTCGTGGCAGATGAGGCCTTTCCACTGCGCCGCAATTTAATGCGCCCTTTCCCTGGACGTGGTGGCCTTACCCCAGAGCAGCGCACCTTCAACTACCGCCTCTCCCGGGCCCGGTTAGTGGTGGAGGATGCATTTGGGATTTGGTCTGCGCAGTGGAGAGTGTTTCGCCGTCACCTGGAAGTCTCCCCAGAAGTTGTGGAGAAGTGTGTGAAGGCCACTTGTGTCCTTCACAACTTCATGAGGATGGCTGGAGATGGGCAGGTTCCTGCACCGAGGGGAGCTGCTGCCGGTGAAGAACCACTTCCAGGCGTGCAGCGGATGGGCGCCAACAACGCGACCAGAGAAGCAGTGGACATAAGGAAGGTGTTCATGGCCCACTTCAGTGAGGAGGGAGCACTGCCGTGGCAGCCCACAGAGTAGTCATGTCCACCACAAGACTGACCCACAACGGCTCTTTTCAGAGCCACCCACAACGGCTCTTTTCAGAGCCACCCACAAAATACAAAGAGCCTAACTTCATTCCTGACATATAATGTGCTGAGCCTCTTGAATATGAAATTCTTTACATTTTTTCTGGCCATAGTCCAAACCCATATTGATTTGCACTATTCTATTCACCTGTATACCTTCTGTTTCTAGGTAATGACTGCCAGACTCCACTGCGACTCCACTCCAACTTCAGGTTAATCATATGCACATTCAAGCTTTTCCGTAATTACAAGTTTGTTAAAACAGTAAAAGGTGAAATGAATAAAAAATACTGCCAACTAATGTATTGCTCTTTAAGTGTTAGTTATTTCATCTTCTATAAAACCCAGTCAGCTCTTATTAAAGTAAATGTACAAATATAGAATAGCATTTTCTGTCAGTATTATATGAAAGGTAGTAATGGTTGGCTTGAAGTAGAACACATGAGGTTTGAAAAATATTTTCTTTATAAAAAAAGGAACAAACAATGCACAATAAATTAAAAGTACATATAAACAAATGAAAAGGAGCTTGCTTGGAGGAGGTGCGGTGGAAGAGGAAAGGGACACATGTCTGTTTCCTCCCCTGCAAAAGGTGTCACCTTAGGTCAAAAAACTGTCTGTTCTGGCCAATGGTTCCAAATTAAGCAGAACGGTGCTGCTTTCATATAGAAGTTGATACATTTTGAATTTAACAAATTCTCTTGACTCTGGTGCCACCCTTTGCAGGGAGAGGAACGAGAGAGAGCAGGAACTGATGTTCTTCTGAGTTGTGGGGCGGTGCGGCTGCTTTGGTCCGTAGAGTCTCCAGCAGCTCCCGCTCCCACTCTGAAGGCGGCTCTACGGACGTGGGCCTCTTCCGAGCCCTCTTCCTTGGTGGGCCTTCAAAGAACACAGGGCAATCACAGTGTTAAAAAGTGGAACATGTATTTCAAAAAAGCAAAATGAAGAGAGCAAATAATATCTGTATTAAAGCCAGAGTGTGTAGACATAGTTAAACACATGTAAAACACTTTTAAGTTGTGTGTTTGTGTTACAATTAACTTGAACATTGCAGTTATCAATGAAATTACTCACACAAGCACAAATTTCGACAGTTACAAACTAATATCTCTGAAGTGTATTTCGCAATGAAATTTGAAATTGGCTGTTAAAAAAGTAATACTCTATTGTCTGCATTAAACAGGATAGCTGCCATCTTGTGGCAACCTTTGCATGTATTTGTTCAGTACTTTTATAGCATAAGGTATTTCAGTAGTATGTTTTTATCGAAGAAAGAGGGAAGATGTGAAGATTCAGACCAAAGCTTCTTTCCACCTGTAGTGCCTTGACATCTTGTCGTTTCTCTGTAAATTTGTCGTCTACACTGATGTAACAGCCCTTGGGTAATTTTGGCATATTATGCAGTAACATTTTGTTTATATGAACAGTCCTGTAATAAGAATAAAAATAAAACAATGATTAAAAAAAGCCACACCTGTAGGTGCAGAAGCAGGGGAAGGTCCAGCCCTCACAGAAGAAGAACCGGCTGAGGAAGAAGCAGCAGCAGCAGCAGCAGGCAGCTCAGGCCAAGATGTCTCACCTTGTGTGGTGGTGGCAGTATCTGCACCAGAAGAAAACAAGAAATACAATTATTTCATATCATGTGTACATTGCGCTTATGACATTTATATGTACATAATAATGTACATTATTATGTACATTTAAATGATTTGTTCATATGAAAGGGAAAAGTGAAATTTAACACAACACATGATCAAGATCTATCCTGGTTTGAAAATAGCCAATGCCTATTTTCACCTGGCCATGATGTTAAGAAAGCATTAAAAGAAATGCATACACAGAAAGCAATATAAATGTAAAAGTCAGCAAAATGTGGGTAATAAAAAGGAAAGAAATGTATTTTTTCCAACTGTTCGAGGTCTCTGTTTGCTGCATGACACCGACCTTCAGCACCTGACAGCCCTGCTGCTGCTGCTTCCTCTGGCTCTTCTTCTGGGTGGTTGTACCCTGTGGTCTGCTCCTCCTCGGCCCTCCGCCTTGGCATGTTCCCGGAGCTGTCACGGGGAGTGATGTAGGGCTCGAGGAAGGACATGACCACAAGGTACTTCCACGTCTGGCCTTTCCCTGCTTCTGCACCACTCTTCTTCACCTTTTCCTTCTCCTTCCTGCTCTCCTTAGCATATGTGTCCCTCAGGTTCTTCCACCGCTTTTTGCAAACTTCCACTGAATAAACACATCAACTCGTAAGCGGGAAAGTAGTAGTTTTTTTCGCGGGGAAATATTTACTGTGAAAAGTTAAAATAACTTACCCGAGACACCAACCACCTCGCTAACCCTCCTCCAAGCAAGCTCCTTTTTATTTCGGTCCCGGTAGCTGTGGTCTGCAGTGTTGTATAGCTCAGAATGAGCACCGACCTGAGCTATTAGCGTGTCCTCCATGATCTACTGTCATCTACTAGTGTTTTCCCGGTAGTGAAATGCGTCACTACGTCACTGGAGGAGAAAGCTCCTGATTGGTCGGCACACGCGAATTCTCCCAAAAAGTTCAACATTGTTCAACTCTAGCGGCGGCCGCGTTGGAGGCACGAATCGCGCGAAACGCGCGTCAAAACGCTTGACATCTCAAAACACGCCGCGCGAATCACGCGAAACGCTCGAATTCGCGCCGCTCTGGCCGCGCGAATCGCGCCGCGTGATCTCTCGCCGCTCCTTGGCGCGCGTCCCCCATGTTGTGTCAATGTAGACCCGCCGCTTTGGCCGCAAAAATCGCGTTTGGTCTGAACGCACCATTAGAGCTGCGTCTCCTAGCACTGGAGTCTCGAGCTAGCGCTAGCATTAGCTATAGCCAGGCCATAACCTCAGGGACAGCGGAGCGCAGCTCTAGGGAAAGGCAGAGGAGAACTAGCAAGCCTAGCCTCCCAGCCCGTCCTCCGCAGCTGGGACAAGACCAGGATAGTGATGGCTTTGTGACTGTTCGGAGAGGGCGACGTGAGAGAGCCGCTGAGAGAGCTGCTGAGAGAGCCGATCGAGTCGCTGATGCGCTGGTAATTGGCTCCTCTATTGTTAGAGGTGTTAAGATCCCAGGAGCCACTGTTCGGTGCTTACCTGGGGCCAGGCTTGGTGATATTGAAGGGAGACTCATGATGACCCACAAGCAGCGTTTCAGTCAAATTGTTATTCACGCGGGTGGTAATGACGTTTGGCGGAAACAGTCCGAGGTGTTGAAGCTGCAAGTCGCCGCGGTGTGCAAGCTGGCTAGCACAATGGCTGACACTGTAATCTTCTCTGGGCCCCTACCTTGCACTAGCAGTGCAGAAGCATTCAGCAGACACTCGGCTTTCAACCGCTGGCTGTCTGGCTGTTTCCCTCGAAGTGGTGTTGTTCATGTTGACAATTGGTGTGCCTTTTGGGGAAAGCCCGGTCTCATCCGCTCGGATGATATCCACCCAACGTTGGCGGGTACATCCCTTTTGGCCAAAATGATTTGAACATCACAGCTTGTCGCCTAACGTTATTGCAACCAACCATGTCCGCCCCACCGAAGAAGAGTAACGTAGGCATGGAAACTCGCCATAAATCTGAAACAGCAAAGACAGGCCGCGTCCATCCTGCAGCCTCGCCTGAGCGTGTGCCTGACCCCGGGTCTGATGCTAACGAGCGCCTGCTATGTTGTATGGAGGAAATGATGCAGAGCATGCGCTCGGACATTGTCTCTGAGTTTGAGCAGATAGTATCCGGGGTAGTTAAACGAGAGATAGCCGCTGCCCTTCGACCGCTAGAAGCAACTTTGAGTGCGCAAAGTGAAACCATTAATAGCTTGGAAGATACTGCTACGGATTGTGGTGGCCAGCTAACTAGCCTACAAGCTACGGTAGCTTCGCTAGCCGAGCAGGTTGGCTCTCTGTCGCAGAAGTGCGAAGACCTGGAAGGGCGCTCAAGGCAGAATAATATACGTATTGTTGGAGTTCCAGAGGGATCGGTAGGAGCTCGACCGACTGATTTTGAGGCCACTTTACTACGAGATTTGCTTGGTCTGGATAACAAGCCCGTTTTGGCTCCAGCCCAAGCCCAAGGATGGAGAGCCCCCTCGCCCTTTTGTTGCACGTGTAAACTTGTTTCAACAACGCAACAAGATTTTGCGGAAAGCTGGTGCTTCGGCTCCACTCCCATACCAGGGAAAGAGGGTGTCCGTGTTCCCGGATTTCACTGCCGCCGTTTCTAAGAAGAGATCTGCTTTTGCCACGGTGAAAAAAGGGCTCCATTCATGCCCGGGTGTGAAGTTTGGCCTGTTCTATCCTGCGGTGCTGCGTGTTACTCTTCCCGGTGGACAGACTCATCGTTTCGAAGACCCAGCACTTGCAGCGGACTTTGTGACCAAACATGTGAAGACTATGGTGTCTCCTGACTCTGTCTGATGTGTCTCTTACTTGTAAACGTTTTGGAAGATGCAGTAACCAGTCAGAGTAACTTTACAGTTTTGCACATTTGGTAATATGTTGCTCCTTTTGTTCTGTTTTATTGACTGTTGCACCAATACAGCCCGTTATTGCAGTATGCCTATTTTCATGTAAAAAATAGATTTTTTTATTTTTATTTATATATATATATTTTATATAATTTGAATATACAATACTAATGCAGTTTTGTTTTCCCTTTTCATCATTAATTCTAGGCTGTAACCTTATTTTATCGTTATCCTGCCAATAGTGTTGCCTGATAGTTGTTACTTTTATTTTTTTGTATTTTTTGACCAAACATGTTGTTGTCTATTCTACTATAGGCATACAGGTATTCCTTGGAATCATTTTTTTTGCCTTCCCTATTTTAAATTCTTTTAACCACTTCACTTATTCAAAAGGTGCTTTTTGTTAAGACTTGGTGTATTTTCTATAATATATGTTTTTATTGTCACATTCCACATGGAGGATTTTAGTTTTAGTTTCCTCCTTCGCTTTCTGAAGGTTTGCTATGGGGTATTTGGGGGGATTGGGGGTCGCGCATTCCATTTGGGGGAATGCTTCTGCAATTTTATGTGTTTTTTGTTTGTTTTCACGCCATCAACTTCTCTACACTGCTATTATTCCACTTGATGTGTCCATAATATGTTCATATAAGTTGGCGGGACAACCTGAATGCTATAATTGGATTTTACCATTATGTTGTCTTCAGTAGGAAAGGACCTCCGGTTCGCTAGCTTTAACTGCAAAGGACTTAATAATCCAGTGAAACGCAGTAAGGTGCTCCATCATCTACAGCAGCTTGGTGCTCAAATAGTCTTCCTCCAAGAGACCCACCTTAAGAACCTTGATCACCTGAAGTTAAAGAAAAGCTGGGTGGGCCAGGTATATCATTCATCTTTTTCTGGTAAGGCTAGGGGTACAGCGATTCTCTTTCATAAGTCTACTTCCTTTGTTCTTGAGCGGGTTGTCCCTGATCCTAATGGCAGATACGTTATTGTAACTGGCAAGCTCCTGGGTTTGAATATTGCATTGGCCAACGTCTATGCACCTAACTGTGATGATGAGTCCTATTTTAAGCGTTCTTTCTCTCTGCTTCCTGATATGTCTGATTATCATTCAATATTGGGAGGGGACTTTAATTGCTGGCTAGACCCCGATCTAGATCGCTCTTCCACTAAAAAAGTTGCACCTTCACAATCAGCCAAGACAATTCAAAATTTTATGCACGAGTTTTCTATATCTGACTCTTGGCGCTTTTTGAATCCCTCAAAACGAGAATACCCATTCTTTTCTTCTGTGCATCACACGTTTGCCGCGCATTGACCTTTTCATAGTCGATAATCGATTTCTATCAATGATATCTCTGTGTAGATATGATGCCATTGTTCTCTCTGACCATGCTCCGCTTTTGATGGATATAAAACTGAGAGCCTTATACCAGCGCCCCCTTTGGCGCCTCAATGTTCGGCTACTCCTAGATGATAATTTTATTAACTTTCTCTCAAATCAGATAGATTTTTTCTTGACTACCAACAGAACGCCAGGAATGTCTGCTTCGTTGCTCTGGGAGTCCCTTAAGGCTTATATTAGAGGGGAGATAATTTCTTATGTACATTTTGAGAACAAAATAAGAGATGGAAAATTTAATTGTTTTAGGCAGCGAATATTTCAGCTAGATACCATATATGCACCAAACATTTACAAAGAACGTCTTTCTCTCCAATCATAATTTGATGTACTCATGGCCTCGCACGCAACAGAATTTATGCTTCAAGCGAATACACAATTTTTCGAATATGGTGATAAAGCCGGTAAACTGCTGGCTCATCAGATCCGCCAGGTCTCTGCCTCCCGTCAAATAGCTAAGATTCAAAACAGTCAAGGGGCAACTACAGACCCCTCCAAAATTAATCAGACTTTTGAAGCCTTTTATCAGTCTTTATACTCGTCCGAGATTAAGCCTACAGATGAGGACTTTGATCGCTTTTTTTCAAGGCTTCAAATTCCTACCTTGAGTCAAGATGCAGCGAATTATCTTGGGGCATCCATTACACCCCAATAAATCGGTATAGCACTTCCAGAGTGGGAAGTGCCCGGGCCCTGATGGATATCCATCTGAATTTTATAAGAAATTTAAGGATAAACTTACACCATTGTTATTGGATATGTATACTGAATCATTCTCTCATGGTATTGTTGTGGAAATTCTGCACATACCGAGAGTAAAATAATGTAAACAACTCAGAGCTGTAATTCCAAACAAAGTGTGAGTTTATTCATTAGTAAATGTGCACAATTACAATGAATAACAGAACCGATACCAATACCACCGGGCAGCCGTCTGAAATCGACTGCCCCAATTGAGGAAATGACTGTACATTAAATAGACCAGAGTACATTAAATAGACCAGAGTAAACAAACACATATCTACTCTAGATATTACATAGATGGAGTCAACATTGATATGTGTTGCTCAAGGCTTCTCTTTACGTGTCTTAACGCTGATACAACTCTGATATATGTAACAATCTGATTTTGAACTGAACATATTGTTCTATGACCCAGGTCAAAGACATGATCACATCTATCACTGACCTGAGCCAACAGAGTATCATGGCCTGTATCTGAATCCAGAGTTGACTATTAGTTAATAACTTACACTCATAACTATTTGGTGTTAATTCAGGTTGCTTTACTAAAATATTTCTATAACAGTATGCTACCAGAAACACTCAATCAAGCTGTAATCTCGCTCCTTCTGAAGAAGGGAAAGGACCCTCTAAGCTTGTTAAATGTCGATTTCAAACTGTTATCAAAAATCCTTGCCAAACATAATATATATAATATAATTTTTAACATAATATACAATAACCCTCAGAATAAATCACAGGAAGCCTTGATATCACTAGACGCTTAAAAAGCGTTTGATCGTGTTGAATGGTCCTATTTGTTTCACATTATGACAAGGTTTGGTCTTGGAGACACATTCCTATCCTGGGTTAAACTTCTTTACTCTAATCCATTGGCTTCTGTTAGGACCAATAACTCTCGCTCGGGTTACTTCTCACTACAGCGCTCCACCAGACAGGGCTGCCCTCTTAGTCCCCTCTTGTTTGCTCTTGCTATTTCTATTCGGGCCGATCCAAATATTAAAGGCATACGAAGATTTAACCTAGAAGCAAAGGTCTCTCTATATGCCGATGACCTGCTACCTTATGTCTCTGATGTCATCACCTGCAGTTTTACACTTACTATCTGACTTTGGTCAATTATCTGTTATAAACTCAATTTAAATAAGAGTGAGCTTTTTCCCTTAAATTCACCTGCTGATACGCCCGACCTGAGTGGCTTTCCCTTCAAAATACCATCGAGTAGTTTCTTGCATCTGGGAATTAACATTACACGCAAACCAGGGGACCTTTTCAAAGCAAATTTTTCTCCATTGCTTTTGAAAATTAAAGAAGACTTTGAACGCTGGTCTCTACTTAAATTATCTTTGGTAGTGCACATCAATTGCGGAAAAATGAATATTTTGCCTAGATTTTTGTATCTATTTCAGTGTATCCCCCTTTTCCTGCCATGCTCTTTCTTTTCACAATTGAATACAATTTTTGTGGGATAAGAAAATTTCTCGGCTATCAAGGCAATATTTACAGAGACCGAAACCATTGGGAGGTCTCTAAACCAAATTTTAGGCATTATTACTGGGCCTGTAATATAAGGACCATAAAATACTGGCTTTGTCCTGGAAATGTCTCTCTTCTAGCCTGGCTCACCATTGAAAGAAACTCTGTAAAACCAGTGTCTCTTTCAGCTCTGCTATATTCACCTTTACAAAGTGCTACCGGAAAGTATACTAAAAACCAAGTTGTAAAAATCTCTCTTAAAATTTGGACCCAATTTAGACGTCACTTTGGCCTGCAGATTTACTCCCATAATGCCCCTTTAGCCGGTAACCATTTCTTTTCATCTTCTCTTGTTGACAAAGCTTTTTTAAACTGGTCACATTCAGGCTTACATACTTTTAAAGATTTGTTTATTGATCGTGTTTTTGCAAGTTTCCAACAACTGTCGGAGAAACATTCTCTCCCAAAGGAACATTTTTTCAGGTACCTACAAGTTCGCAGTTTTGTTAAAAGTAACTTCACCTCGTTTCCAAATTTACCTGAAGACTCCACTATTGATAATTTTCTCAAGCCTCTTTCTTTTCTAAAAGGCTCCATTTCATTAGTTTATAATCAGATTGCAGCTATTCGTTCCAATTCTCTTTCATCAATAAAAGCTCTCTGAGAGGAGGATCTCGGTGAGGCATTATCTGAGGAGCTATGGTCAAAAATTCTAGCGCGTGTGCACAAGTCCTCAATATGTGCTAGGCATAGCCTTATACAATGCAAACTTGTTCACCGTGTTTACTACACCAAATACCGTTTATCTAAGATATATCAAAACGTGTCCCCAACTTGGGATCGATGTCAGAAGGCTCCAGGCAACATTATTCACACATTCTGGCTCTGTCCACGACTTCATAATTACTGGACAGAAGTCTTTTCTCATATTTCCATTGTTGTGGGCAATCAGGTAAACCCTAATCCTTTGAGCGCTCTCTTTGGTGTATTCGTGGGACCACCCTCTCTCTCCGAATCAAATAGAAACTCTCTTGCGTTTATGACTCTGCTGGCAAGAAGGGTGATTTTACTGAAGTGGAAGTCTCCACAGCCTCCGTCTTGGACACAGTGGTTTAGGGACGTTTTATACTTCATCAAACTGGAGAAAATTCGAATGACTTTGAATGGATCCGTTGATAGATTTGAACGGACGTGGCAACCACTGTTCCAGTTGGTACAACACTTAGATTTCCCTTCTGTCCCAGATTAATTCCTAGATTTTTCTGTAATAGGTTTTTAAAATGCGTATTATTTCTTTACTTTCCCGGAGGTCCCCTTTCAGTTCTGTA